CTTTCCCTTTCTCTCTCTGTCTCTCTCTGGGATACTTAAAAATAATAACAAATAAAATTAAATAAAATAATTCTTTAAAAATTATTAATTTTTTCGGCAGGTGGGATGGTGGTTAAGGATGCTGGACTCCCATATGGCCGGCCACAGTTTGAGTCCCGGACCTGGCGGCTTTCTTTCTCTCTCTCTCTCTCTCGCTCTCACTCTGTCCCTCTCTGGTCAAATTAAAATAAATAAAGTTAAAGTAATTATTTTTAAAAATTATTAATTTATTTTTCCCCTAAGCTAGCAGAGGACATAGCAGTTAAGGTGCTAGATCTCACATGGCCAGTTTTGTAGTTCAAGTCCCAGACCTGGTGGTTTGAGACTCACACTACGCGTGTGTGCATGCATGCTCAAAATCCCCAGAGGAGTGAAGGATAAAGGACTGTAGCATTGCCATGCCCCCTAGGGTGTGGCTTCTCACTCTCTCCACCCCCATCTCTCACTGGTGAGCACATACATCCTATAGCAAAAAAAATTTTTTTCCACGTAATTTTGATAATACTAACAAATGCTTCACACAAAAATGACTCCATTCCCTCGACTGTAATGCTCTTTGAGGCTCTTTATCTCTTCATCTCCATCACCAAGGACAAGGTCTGGCCCATGAAAGGCCCTCCGTAAGTATTAATCTCCTCCTTTTCTCTCTTCCATTTTCCCCAGCTCTCTTTCATAACCTCTAAATAATCGTGGCATTTGATATTGTCTGACAATGGTCTCTGAGCTATGGCCGAGTCCACGAGATAAAGTACCATGTCCTGTTCACTGCAATTTAGTTCCTTGGTAGTGGCCACTTACCTTAAGGACAGCTTCAGTGATACCCCAGGAGAAGTCACAGGGAAACTGACCCTGCACGTCTGCAGTGGACTCCTTGAACGTAAAGCCGTTTTCTTGTATGATCTGCTTATAGTAATGCGCCGAAGACTTGGGTTTCCTTTCTTTCTGCGTACTATTAAAGTCGACATAAAACAGTCCGCGGCGGATGGCGTAAGCATCCTGCCATTCAAAGCCGTCCAAGAGCGACCAGGCGGTGTAACCAAACACTTGGACGCCGTCAAACCTGATCGCTGCACAGAGAGCAGAGAGCAGAGACGTTCAGAGATCTAAACACTCGTCCATGCTCACAGTTTCCCTGACAGCATGCCAGGGGACAGCAGATTGGGAAACCAACCTTTCCCCTACTTTGCAGGCCCATTTTATCAAGCAGAGAATTCATGTTTACACTTGAAAAGTGGCAGTTATTTTCATCCCGAATGTACCTTCCCACCCCCAACAGCGAGCGAATGACACAGTGAAAGGATCCACTTAAAACCATTCCTGGGGATTGCGGTGTGGCCATCCTCCCTGGGGGGTGATTTCTCGCTTTCTGTCTCTCTGTCTCTCTCTGTCTGTCTGGCGAGCGCATGCGCCCT